AATCAAAGAAAAGGGTACTGAATTATTACGTTATATCTGTCCTCCTGTATTGCAGCGGGTGCTAAACAATCTCCTTAAAGATAATGAAGAGACTCGAAGCAACAGAAATGTAGTTCTACAGGAGTATGCTGAGTGTTGAGGATACCACGGGCCTAACATGTGAGCAACGACGAGGTTTTGGAAAGAAGTAAAAAAAAAAAAAAGGAAACATATACTTAACATCGGGAGGAGGCAGTTTAAATTTTGGGAACACGTATTTGGAAGTAGGGCTCAGTAAATCTGATACTCACAGGAGAGCTATAGGGAAAGTGGGAGAGGGGAAAGCAAAGCGTGACATACTTGATGGGATTGGGAAAATTGATGGTAGAACAGGATTTTGGAAGAATAACGAAAAAGTAAAAAAAAACATTAAAAGCTACAAGGGACAGGGAGATGTGGAGGGCCATGATCACCTACGTCCTGAAGGGACACGGCACATAAAAGAAGAATAGAAAAAAATCAATAAATATGAAAAGAGTAAAACGAATAAAAGTATGAAATTACCATTGTATATTTAAGAACATTTTTCATTATTGTTGTTGCTAAATATTTGAGGGATTATATATATATATATATATATATATATATATATATATATATATATGTTTATTTAGGCAGCAATCCTTCTTTCATGCACATTTCATTGAATACGACAGACAATTTTATTTAGTTTTTTATACAATTTCTCATGCGATCTATTTTCTTTTTCTTTTCAGATGATGAATTATATAAAAACTGTCCGAATGTTCTTTTTATCCGAGAGCTTTCGGCTATATATTTAGCCACTTTCAAGGATTAAATATTTTAACTGTTAAATAAAAAATAGTTTGTTGTATGTATGTTTTATAAAATGTTTTCATTTTTCAGAACACGGTCAAGATATTGTGTCCATGTTCAAAGTTAATATTATTAAGTGTTCTTTTCTTTCTCTTTATTAATAAGCCTTCCATTATTTTTAGCCTTTTTTTGTATGTAGATGATGCTATTATATTAGTGTTGTCAACAAATATGTTACGAATAATGTCCGGTAGGTCCCCATGAATATTTAAATGAGATCTAATTGATCTATAGTCAGAAATGTGTAGAGTTATTCTGCGTGTTCAAACATGTTGTAGTGTTGCCTATATAATTATTTACGAATTTTGATTGATCAGGAATACGATTCCTTCATGGGCATTTGCCTGTTGTTTCAATGAAATATAATATATATATATATATATATATATATATATATATATATATATATATATGTAAAATGTTCAAACACTAATATTCCATGGATATAATTTATTACATTGGAATCGTAATCACAATCCAATTCATCAGACCTTCACATTAAAAAAAATCGGAAAATACAACTCCGCGTATAAAAAAGAAAATGTCCAGGTAATATATACATATATATATATATATATATATATATATATATATATAACCAGGTAGAATGAGAACAAATGGTGTATAATTCCACATATAATTTAAAAGAGGGATCAGTAGAGAGTAGAGCAAAATATTATTTATTTTAGGATATTATAACAAAAAAAACTTAAATATCGCTACGTTTCAACATTAAAAATTATATATATATATATATATATATATATATATATATATATATATGTCCAAATTCAGGCTTTCAATTTGTTTTTATTAAATCTTTCAATTTCAGAATCATATTGTTTTTTTGTTTTATCGGTAAATTCATATTAAGTTTTATCAAATATTGTTTTTTCCCAAGTAATTTCGAAGAAAAAATATAAATATTATAAAAAAGTTAATATAAATTTCGGCAAATTTACTGATAAAAAAAAAAATTAATAGGAAATTTCAAAGATTTAATTAAAATTGTCAGACAGAATTTGACTATATTATTTAACAAGACAGATTCTTGCTGCCAAAATATAACTTATATATATATATATATATATATATATATATATATATATGGAATATATACGGTGGAATAATGGATAGCGGCTTTGATTGAGGAATCGGAGAGTTCGAATTCCAGTCGAATCAATTACTTATGTACTAATACCCTTGGGAAAGGTGTGAATCCTCTTCTTCTCCCTCCAGCTATAGACTGGGTTCTATAGCCTTGGATGGCAACTAATCTAGAAGAAAGACAACTCTGAATTCAAAACCTGCGGAGGGTCGTTTAGAGACTTTGTGGCACGTAGTGAACCATGTCTCTGTATTCGGCCCTTCAAAAAGTGTGGATGGTCCTGAACGAAACATTCACCACTATAATCAAATCTCATGTGCTGTTTTCGGGCTGTCGGTTTCCTGGGAACTGATCTGCTTGACCCTCATACGTCGAATTCGACGAGAGAATCGAGTAATACTAGCATAATATTCGCACTATCGGGTGACATTTAAACTTGCTTCTAAGGAAGGCTTTTCATTGGGCCTTCATCACAGTAGCTAGGGAGGAGTAGACGAAATAGGAAACAATAAACTACAGAAGAACTTAAATGAGACCTAACTGAGCTATTGTCAGAAAGGTGTAGAGTGAGTCTGCGTGTCAAACATGTTGTAGTGTGGCCTATAAATGTATTAATATTTAAGCTTAACTTTTAAAAGTGCAGCGACTTAATTTAAAGAAAAATTGATTTACTTAGGTCCTTACTTTCCGTACAAAGAATTATTTTTATTTCAGCAGTAATGAAATCTTGGAAATCTTAAATTTCAGGATTGTGGGTCCTGATCCGACCCGGAGTGTTTTCACTTTGCTCGCCGAGTCAGCCTGGATCCAAAATGGTATGATATGTCGGCCTCCAGACAATAGGAGTAAATTTTGAAAAAGTGTGACACTGACACACGGATATTCACATTTATTATACAGATATATGTGTATGTATGTGTGTGTGTGTGTATGTCTGATATTTCTAGAAAAGTAACAATTCATATATTATTAAAGAAAATGGCCAACCGAAGAACATGGCGATTTACATTCCTTCAATGTACTCCTGTTTGGGATTCAACGTTCATCACTTAAACTTTTCAAAGATATCTGCAAAATCCACTTTCGGGATTCCCATCAGCTGCGCAGTCGTATTCTCTTTATTCTCAATAACTTCGTTTCAATGCTGACTTCAGCTTTGTGAAAAACAGATATAACAGAAAAGAAAAAATGTGCGTGATAGTCAAACTCATTAAGTTTGCAATGAGGTCTACGTCCCTATCACGGTGAATCACCGGTTCCAATATGATTATCGTTATGACTATGGTTAAGCAAATTCGGGATTGGTCAGTAACTAGATGAGCGACCACCTGGGAATACCAGGTGCTGTAACTTTGGATATGCAGCTGGTAGGGCTCACGTACGTTCATAGAAGTTAAGCAACGTCGAGCCTGGTGAGTAACTAGATCGGTGACGCTTGGAAATAGCAGGTGATGTATGCGACAGGTAGGGCTTACGCTCATATCACGCTGAAACACCGTTTCTCGTACGTTCACCGAAGTTAAGCAACGTCGATCCTGGTCAATAACTAGATGGGTGACTGCTTGGGAATACCAGTGCTGTAAGTGTGGATATGCGGCTGGTGGGGCTTACGATCATATCACGTTGAAACACCGTTTCTCATACGTTCACCGAAGTTAAGCAACGTTAAGCCTGGTCAATAACTATCAGGTCATCCCATAAGTTCTGTCCGAATTTTGAATAAAGAAAACAAGTGACCAAATGTTACATTTAATTACAGATTCAATCAACAATGTATTTTCCCTGATTATCTATGACTTCCTTCCATCTATTAACAAGCTTACTAATTCTATTACTGTTAAATTCTTTTGGCTTTGATTTGAAGAACTCACAAATGTCAGTTTTAAGCTCTTCCTGTGTTACAAAACCTGTTTCTTCTAAATGATTCTGTAAGCTACGAAACAAATGGTAGTCTGAAGGAGCATGATCGGGAGAATAAAATGGATGAGGAATTTTCTCCTAACCAAGATCTTCGATCTTTTTGACGTGATTCTTGCTATGTGGGGTCGCGCATTGTCCTGATGAAACATCACCTCTTTTCGATTTACTAGTGCAGGTCTTTTTTCCTCAAAGCGTGGTTCAAACGCTCTAATTGCTGACAGTATATTTGAGTATTAATTGTTGCATTAGGTGTTAAGAATTCAAAGTGGATTATTCCTTGGCGATCCCACCAGATTGAAAGAAGAATCTTTTGCCCATGAATTCCCTTCTTGGCTGTGGCTGAGGTACTTCCCCTTTACCAAGCCACTGTCTCTGACGCTTAACATTTCGATAAAAGATCCATTTTTCGTCGCCAGTCACAAGTCTATCCAAAAAAGGTGAAACAAGTTGGCGATAATGAAGAGAAGAGCAGATGTCAACTCGGAATTTGAGGTTGTTTTCAGACAATTCATGAGGCACTCATTTTCCAAGTTTAGGAACTTTTCCAAGTTGTTGAAGATGACGATGAACAGTTGTATGGTTTGAACTGAGAACCACTGCCAATTTCTCAACTGATAAAGCCGGATTTTCTTCAAGAGCTGCTTCCAGAAGCTTTTCATCAAATTCAACTGGACGTCCGGTTCAATCTTCATCTTCAAGGGTGAAATATCCACCTCTGAATTTTGCAAACCATCTTCTGCAAGTTCTTTCATTCACACATTCCTCTCCATAAACTGAGTGAATGTTTCTAGCCGCTTCGGCTGCTGAGCTTCCTTTCTTGAACTCATAAATCATTATGTGCCTCAAATGATTCTTGGGTATTTCCATGTTAGCAGGGTTTTAATCAAACATAATTTAATTTTCTTGTTCTCTTAAATAAAATTTGATCAGTTTAAATGCATCTAAACATAAAAATAATGTAATAAAATACTCTTTAAATTTCGTTCATTTTTAACAAAAAGTTAAAATTCGGACAAAACTTATGGGATGACCTGATAGGTGGATGACCATTTGGGAATACCAGGTGCTGTAAGTGTGGATATGCGGCTGGTAGGGCTTACGCTCAAATCACGTTGAAGCACCGTTTCTCGTACGTTCACCGAAGTTAAGCAACGACGAGCCTAGTTAGTAACAAGATGGGTGACTGCTTGGAAATAACAAGGGCTTAGGGCTCATATGTTCAAACACCGTTTCTCGTAGGTTCACCGAAGTTAAGCAACGTCGAGCCTGGTCAGTAACTAGATGGATGTCATCTTGGGAATACCAGGTGATGTATGCGGCTGGTAGGGCTTACGCTCATATCACGCTGAAACACCCTTTATCGTACGTTCACCGAAGTTAAGCAACGTTGAACTTGGTCAGTAACTAGATAGTAACTTGTTGTAAGCGTGGATGTGCAGCTGGTATGGATGACCGCTTGAGAATACCGGCTGCTGTACACTTGTATGCGTGATGGAAAATGGCTCGCAAATCGAATTCGGAGAGCCGAGTTCAAATTCAAGTAGGGTTCGTTATATTCATTAGCAGACAAATATCCTTGGGAAGGGTATTATACCGCTTCTTCTCTGCCAGCTATGGGTTTTTGGAATCTTAAAAAGGAATAAAAAGAGAGAGATTGTAATTCTTGGGTTATTCTTTTCAAACTCCAAAACCACCTTGAATTCTTGTTGTTCCAGAAATAAAAGGTACAAAGGGAAGAAGGAGGCAGAGACAATGGAAATGAATTCAGGAACTTTATTACAGTAACAACGGTCTGTTGAAGGGAAATGCCTTCCTGATCAAAAAACACGTGTTTATTCGTTGAAAGTTCAAGAGAAAACGAGAACGATACTTCTAGTTTGTCTTTGGCGCCAGGATGCCCCTCCTTTCTTACGCATGCGCTATTTGTTCTTCCTGTCGGGGGCATTCTGGGAGTTTCTTCTTTTTATTTATTTATTTTTTTTTATTTTTATTTATTTTTATTTATTTTATCAATATACAATCCCCACAGGTTAATTCGTAGTAGTTTTATCAGTAAATAATTAATATCTCAAAAAAATTCTAACAATATATTTTCCAGTTTTAAATAAGATACAAAAACCTTGATAAACGAATCAATCTATAGGTTGACAATAAGCCCATCTCTGAATCGTTACAAAGGTACATCAAGTCAACACAACCTGTTCTCGTAATATTTAAAATCACCGGATATGCATGGATACCTGCGTACGCCACACAGTGAGACAAATGAGATTTAAAATAGACCATTGAAAAATAAAACTAAATAATCTTTACTGATATACACACAATTACGTCGATATGAATACAGGCATGCATTTGCATGCAGTTCGCTTTTTGTTAGTCTCTGTCCAGTATTCTCACACATGTGCGTAAAACGTGCATGTGAGATGTCAAATTTGTTCTCTTGTATTCAGGCGTGCATTTTAAAATATCTCATTAGATCATCGAAATGATTAACGATAATTCTACTTTTTCACATCAACGACCGTTGTCCTCACAACACGCAGTTTCTCCAACCGGGATTATTTGCCTCTCTGCAAGATTCATTTACGTGGATGACGCCCACGCAACATTGACTAATGGCGCAGTACTGCTCACTAGCATTGTCAAGATCAGGAAACCTCGGTAAATTTTTTTGCGGTTTAAATACAGAGAGAAGTAATTACTGCTAATCAAGCCATTATTTGCCAAGTCATGTTCGTGCTAAAAAAAGGTTATACACTGTAAAATCAGGTCATTCCGTGCGCGATAGAACATTATGTTATTTAAACCGTAATATATATTAGGTGGTAAGATGACCATAATATATATATATATATATATATATATATATATATATATATATATATATATATATATATATATATATATATTATCATCCACATTCAGGCCTGTTTCGCTGTATCACAGTTCATGACTAAGCTATCGGCGCACACGGCATAGAGAAATGGAAATTGTAACGTATTTTATACGGATGTAACCAAACGCCAGCAGGCAGAGTGCTCAATTCATTAATGAAGAGCGGTGCGTTAATAGCGTTGATGTCTACTATTTTGGGATCAACTTTTTAACGATAGTGTTCGATCGAATAGACGAGAGCTTTTTATTATGGTCAACCATACAAAGCTTTATATATATATATATATATATATATATATATATATATATATATATATATGTTGTTATATATATATTGTTATATATATATATATATATATATAGATAGATAGATAGATAGATAGATAGATAGATATGTGTGTATGTGTGTGTGTTTGTGTTTGGATTTAATATAATCTAGTCTTAATCTCCTGGTAGTATTACTAGCATCTTGTACGTATGTATTGGTATTTGGTTGTTATTTTTGACATTTTACATTAATTGGTTATTATTATTAATATTTTATATAAAGAGTCTTTATTCAACAGTTGCATATTAATTTACCAAGTAAGTCTATACGTTTAAATCATTTACTGGTTTCTTTAAGAAGCTATTTATTTACCAATTATAAAAAAAAAACAATTATTTAGGAAACTCACAAAACATGTAACTTGTTTAGCATTTTCTTGAATTACCACTTCACCTCATGTTTTTCTTAGTAAATTACATTGTCTGCTATGTTTGATATGCTTCCATTTACATTCACTCCTATTTAACGTCTTTAGTGCCATTAACTGCCAATCTATGGATCATGACCAATTTATGAAAAATAAATTCTTCATTTTTGCTTTTTCGCTTAGTTTAAAATTAACGGAGGACATATTCGATTGGATGATCTGAGTAAAGCCCACAAACATTATGACCCCACTTTGTTAGTAAAATTAAAAGAGGTTGTATTTACTGTATAATACTGGCGAGTGAACGATTTATTTAGATTTAAAAATCTAAATAAATCGTTCAATCGCAGTATTTTTTCAAACACCTGATGAGATGTATTGATATGCATCGAAACACGACTGTAGTTGTGTAGTGATTTTGACCTCTTTTCAATGTAATATCCAAATATATATATATATATATATATATATATATATATATATATATATATATATATCAGATAATGTCGCCTGCTTTATCCAAGAATTTAATTTCTTCTCTTCTGATATGTTCATTTATGGCGATTACGTTGAGGACTAAATTCGTTACCAACTTGCAGGTTCGGGACGAGAAGCTTCTAGTTTCACGAAAATCTACTCCCTTGCAGGAGTTAATTGGAGAAATAAAGATAGAAGAAAGTGCCGATGTCGTGAATTTGTATAAGATGCACCTCAACTTGCCCGGAAGTGACCCACACACTTGATTCTCTTACCTTCATGTGCGGCACATGTTTAATGAGATTTTCATAGTTATGAAAGTGCAACGGAGTGCCGTTGACTCCTGACGCCTTCTGTAGCATGTCCGTCATGCGTAGTTCATTTAAACTGCTAACTACAGTGTCAACAACAATATTTCACCTACAGTATCCAAATTACAAAGAACAAATATTATTTAGGAATTCACATGCCCCTTAAGGAATAGTTTTCTTGATCAATCTAAATTTATCAATAATTATATTCGATATACTACAAGAAGATTCACCTTACACCCCTCTGATCATAGCGATGATAAAATCCGATGTTCACAGGACAGATTTAATCCAAGAGTAACGGGCGATAAACAGCGCAGAGATTATTCAATGAGCTAACTAAAGAGTTAGTATTAGTTATAAGCCGCGATCTAAGCTGTTTGAACTCTCGTCCATCGGGCAGAATTGGGCCCAGACATGGCTATGCGGAAGAGCAGAGTCTTGTCTGTGGAGGTAGACAAACCCGGCTTCGTTATTACGGGTTCTACGGGAAATTTTGGCCCGAGCCTACGGGCTCTAAAAAACCCAAGTTAAACCGGCCTTGTGCAACATTCCGCTCTGTGAGGAAGGAGCAAGGTAAATACCGAGTATTAAATGAGCTTCGGTAAATGGATTAGGTTTAGAGGAAATTACAAATACACAAAATTTATTAAGAGGAAGTAGAGGAAGTTGTGGAGAGCCATGATCACCAACGCCCTGAAGTGATACGGAAAATAGTAGATGTGTACATCAATTCGACATCTTCTTTATTGCGACAACATTGCTGTTGAATCTTACTTTACTATTCTCATGAATTTTATTAACATCATTTCCGAAATGTATGGATTTATTCACGCCCATTCAGTTCATTGCAAATAATAGATGCAAACGCCCCCCCCCTCCTGAAAATCGTCATCCTGTTGACGTTGTTATTTGTACGCCTTTCTATTCATATTTAACAAAATAATAAAAAAATAAACAAGAATGAATCAAGCTAAGCTACGCTTCTACATCTGTCTATTAACAAAGTCGTTTTTTTTTTTGGCAACACGCTGCCTCGTTTTGAAATCTACACAATATTTAAATATTGTTGAAGTTACCGCTAACATTTACCGTCGAGATTTACAAACTCTCCGTTTTATTCAATTTCGCAAACCAATCCATAAAATTTGAATAATCTGGTTTGTCTGGAAAGAATACTATGACAAAATGACTACTTTGTGGTTTAATAATTTCTCTAATTCAATTTAAATTTATACGAATTCATGTTAAACAATATTTTTTAGATTTTTTTTCTTTTTCAGAGAAAAATAAATTATTAGAATTACTTATTCTTGAGCATGCAACATACAACTGGTTATGAGTAAATATTTCTTCATGGAGTCAAATTACAAATTTTTGAAGCGTTTGTCCTTGTTTAACATATTGCCGGAACTGCAACAAGTTGCAAAAAATAAAAGTGGCTTAGAAAATGCCTTACGAATGTCAATCTATCTTTTTTTGTAAGCTGCGTGTAAGGAGGTGGGGTCTGACTGAAGTTTTCGGCTGTGGTTAAGACATTAATGTCTGTTCTCCGACACTAGTGTAATATTGAGAGAAAGGAGAATGACGATGAATTTTTTCCTGTATTGAATAAAAATTTTAATTTTTCTAAAAAATGAATGAAAATTTATGGTATAGGCTACACACCTAATAAAAGAAATTATAGTTTGTATCCCCTTACTTCTTTGCATTTCTCCCCAATATTTGGTTTCGATCGGTCAATGGCTATTTTAAAGGGTGTGACCGACGGATGAAGTCACAGAATTTATATATATATATATATATATATATATATATATATATATATATATATATATCGCGAGAGAGAGAGAGAGAGAGAGAGTGAACGAGATAGATAGATAGATAGATAGATAGATAGATAGATAGATAGATAGATAGATAGATAAGCAGGTT